TTAGAACCCCTGCCTATGAAGAGCTGCTCCACGCACACCTTGTGCCCCCAACAGACAAACATTAAAAAAATGCCAAGATAATCATGACCAGATCAAATCTAAGATCCCACTTACTCAGAAATGTTGGTATACTTCAAACCACCTCAGTCTTATGGAGAGTCCCAAAGAAAATCATATACCTTTTAAAATACAGGAATCCTTTCCTTTTCTCCTTCTCCAGCTTATGTGAGTCTCCCGTTTCATCATCTGTGTATTTATGTGTTTCTTCCCTTTCCCCCCACTCCTAATTTTCAAATTTCCTTGAAATCTTTGATTTCAAGTTCTCCTTTTCTTTACCTTTACCTAGGTTTAATCTAAAGTTATGGAGCAAAATAACAGGAGTCAGAATTGACAGCAAAGTGAGCACAAAACAACACACAACTGTTTAACAGCTTTTCCCTCCTCTTGCAGTCCTTCGCTTGAACAAGATGATAACAGAGTCTGGAGGAAAAATATTTGCTACCAATGGGAAAAAAGCTGATTTTGATACTACACTGGAAAAATGTAAAGAGGCTGGAGGCTCTATTGCCACTCCAAGGAGCCCTGGCGAGAATGATGCCATTCTGTACTTTGTGAAATATTTTAACACCTATGCCTACCTTGGGATAAAGCAATCCCTTATTCCAGGCAAATTCCAGCTCCTGAATGGTGCTCAGCCAAACTATACTAACTGGTATTCAAATGAACCTTCTGGCAAAGGGGAGGAGGAATGTGTGGAGATGTACACTGACGGCACTTGGAATGACAAAAAGTGCAACAAGAATCACCTTATTGTCTGCCAGTTTTAGTGCTTCCCTTGCTGCTCTCTGGAATATGCTTCCCTGCCACTTGTATCTTCATTTGTAGCTAGTGAATTTAGATAACACAGCATGAAAAAATAAAATTCACTCTTTCCCAGTTTAATTTGTCTTTTAAACAAAGGTCAGCCATAAAGAGGAAACTGTATAATGAAAGCAATGGCCATTTTGTCTGTTTTGTTAATCATTGCCCACCAAGTGTCTTAATACTACTGCCTAAGTGTTCCTACTGCTGGTGGCCTGCTGATTTACTACAAGATGAAAAATTCGAGTTCTTGGCCGCATATCTGAAGTGACTTGCAGCCACAAGATCTTCCAGTACCCATGAACCTCTATGCTGTATTTTGGTCCCTTCCTGTAAGTTTCCCCCACCAAAACTCATTGCAGACACTCTGCTGTTGCCCAGCCCATGTTGTTTTTCACCCTCACCCCCAACAGGTAGCCTGAAAGAAGACACGAGCAGTGCTGCTGGGGTGGCACAGAGCCATCCCCCTAACATTTCCCATTGGAAAATTTCAGAGTCAGCAGGTCTTTAGCCTTCATGCACCTCAAAAGTGGCAACCAGATGCCACCTGTTTAGCAATTCCTAATCCCTTTCCTGACTAAAAGATGTAGGAACACAAAAAGACCAAGTTCCCTGGAAGAAAATATATGGGAGGCAACAGGAGAATTACTGGGCCTATGTGGTTTAGGGAAAATCAACAGAGCCAGGATGAGGCCAATTTTTTTAGGTTACATTGTCATGAGATTCAGATACAACTAATTTTGGGCACCACCAAGGTGCTTGTCAGACCCTCATTGGGATTCCCACAGGGCCAAGGTTGGCAGATGTCAAGTGACTTGTACTCGGCATTTATTGCAGAAGCTACTCAGTCTTCATTGTCCAGCTTAAGCCAAAGGATTAAGAGAAATCCTTCTAGGCTTTCTTCCTTGAGTCTGTTCACCTACTGAAGGTGAGAATTCCCTATGTTTAGATTCACAGTTGTGCAGTATAGCTGCACACTCAGAGATGTCTGATTTGGTTTTTTTCCTTCCTCCAGGGCAGTTGACCTCAACACAGTTTAGGCAATGAAGGCTCAGCATCAGCTCTGTGACATGGTGCAAAGGCTGGCTGAGCACCTTTGGATGCCTCCATAAAGCCAAATGCCTGACTATCAGTCACACTCATTCACACTGTGCTAGTCCCAGCTTGGCCACAGAAACCTGAGCAAGGACATGTCCAGCTCTAGAGCCAGACCAGCTCCCCTCACCCTCTGCATGACAGGGAGACAGAACAGGTATGGAAGGCAGCAGGGAAGGGAAGGTGTGCTCACAGCTCCTGTGAACCTGGGGGCCAGCAAAGAGGCTGCTTGGAACCTTGCACCTGTGCAAATCACTGCAATCCCAGAGCAGCAATTTGCCATGCACAACATGCCTGGCTTAAATTCAATTACAGGATTATTTTGGGCACATGGTCTCACCACCTGCTCTGTGACAAGGAATGGGTCTTCCTGGCCTTCTTTCAGCCCTCTGCTTGATGTCAGGGCCTGTGAATCATTCTTGCTGTTATTCTCTGCAAACTAAGCTGCTTGTCTTTTAGGTATTAGGAAAATTAATATGACAAGATTGGTGTGAAACCAAGACACCTTTCTGCTTGAACAGCCTAGTGCCTGCAGGTGCCCACCTCCACAGGTAGAATCAATTCCTCCCTCCAGCAGTGTTCAAATCCTTCATCACAAAGCACACTAAATAGGACCTTGTTTCCAAGAGCTATAAAGTAACTTCAACATATGCAAAGATAAAACTTTTGTGAGCAAAGTCCTCTTTATCCATGCATCTGTTTGGCATGAAAGGAGATCTCCAGGCTGTTAACAAATACCTTATTCTGGACAGCACAGCCAAAGTATAAACTGCTGAATCCCATATCATGTAAGGTCTAGATAGACTGCTCTGTTAACCCAGATGAAAAAGGTACATAGAGGGGAAATGAAGATTCAGGAGTCCATGTGGCACTGTTTTACTTTCAAGTTATTCTTACAAACGTTTTACAGCTCAACAGTATCTGCCTGCACCCATCAGCTCACCTGCCCAGTCTTCAGCCTTGCGTGACTCCTGTTGTGAAATTAACTCTGCCACGAGCACAAGGAAACAGGATCACAGGCATCATCTCATGTAGTAATTTTCCACTCATCATATTCCAATAAAGTTCAAGAAATTTACAGTGATTACCATCAGCCTGAGAATGAAGTTGGACACACAGCCCAGCACCACCAAACATTTAAAGCCGTGGTAAGTTCTTTTTATTTTATCCTGCTAATCTCCAGGGGATCACAGAGTTATCTCAAAATTAAAGCTATTTTCAGGTGTGTGAAAGAAAGCAGCAACCTTCAGTGTTAGTCTAATGAAGATGTGCCACAGCAATATTCCAGCACTGCCCCATTTGTGGGCTTTTTCCCTGTGGGCTCCTAGTGAAGAGAGTAAAGGACTTTGTTCCTCCAAAGCTGCAGATGCCCTGTTGAGATGCTGTAGCTGCTCATGGGACTGGGATGAGAACACAAAACCTCAAAGCAAATGTTTGTCACCCTGCCTGAAGCTGCCACCTTCAACAACCCTGCTGACAGTAGGCAGGTCTAGAAACAGCAGTCTTGGCCTGAAAGGCAGCATTTGGGCACTGAATTTGTTTCCTAAATCTGAATGAGAGGGCTGTACAGCACTCCACTGATTTGTAAAAAGACAGCCTTGGGAAATCCTAGCAAGCATTTACTTCAAAAGCCGTTTCCTGAAACATTTGTGAACATATTTTAGAAGCTTAATCCACCCTATCCTAACTTTAAATACTAGTTGTGCTTTTAAAAACTGCCACTATTTGGCCTGTATTTACTAGTACTTGTGAATATTCTGGACCACCCAGCATGCTGACAAGCCAAACTCTGTGATATTCAATTTTCAGTCAATGGTAGGCACTTTCCTACTTTCAGTTATAGGATTAATAGTACCACCACTAGAAATAAGCAAAGTTAAAATTGTATTAATCTGAAGACTTAGTAAAAGAACAGGATAAACAGGTTTCTTGGAAAGCATCTTAACAAGGAATTTGATTTTAGCAAGATGAAATATTAGTGTCAAATATCAAGCAAGGTGGAAGTCACTGTGTCAGGTTCTGAGGGGAAAAGTGTTACTGATTCTGCCTTGTACAGTGGAAAACAATTTCTCCACCCACCCACTCAGGAAATTGTTTTGAGTCCTATAAAATAAAAATACCCATCATGTGAAAAATTATTCTTAACAGCTGTTATTTTCTGTGAAAATACCCTCGTTAATATTTTTTTCTTCTTCGGAAGAAACTGAAAACTGTGTTGATGTTTGTGTGGGTCTGAGGTCTAAAGGGACATCCCTGCAATCTGAAGCTCTGTACAGCCCTTTGGATGTGTCCATCCCAGCACAGACAGTCCCACAGGCTTCACTGTTCGATTTTTAATGCAGGCTGCAGTTTGGCCTTCACATCTTCTCTTGTCAAGAGCCAGATGCAGCAGTGTGCTCAGGCAGGAGGGCCACTTCTCAGGGCCTGGGTAGTGCCACCTCCACAGCAGCGTGGAGAGGAGCCAGAGCTGGCTTAGCAAAGCCTCTGAAGAGGTTTTTACATGCACTTCATATAACAGGTACTGCAGCAGCCTGAGCGTGGCTGTGATTTTTCAAATGTTTAAATAAAGCTAAGCTGTTAAGTAGCAAGTGAGTTGTTGAATAGACATAGGTGGAAGAGAGTTGGGTGTATGAGCAGCTTGGATCAGCAATAAACTTAGGGGCATCAGCCTTCATACTTCTGAAGGCTGCACATGCTGTCCATAATAACCCATAAAGAATGAGTTACTTAATAAGAGTACTTGTGAGTAAATAAGATGATTTACAAGGAAAGCCCAAGTGGTTTTCTGGTGAAAAACGAGCCTTTATTTTTCACTGCAAGCAAGCCTCCTGAAGCAGGCTGAGCGTGTCAAGAGCCAGCTATCCCCTGGCCTGAGCAGGCCGCAGCCAGGGCAGAGCGGCTCCCTCGCCTCCTCGGGAAGGCTTGTGCCACTTTAAGAGCACCGAGTGGGAGGCGATAGAGGCACTGCTGTACAAACAAGCTCCCGAGCACCGTGCGGCTCTCACCTGAGCCCGGCAC